CACCTCCTGCATAGTTACATGCAGCTGCAGCGCCTCCTCAGGCCCCTTTCCTTGCCTTCCTCCTATACCCTTCCTGCAACAGTTGAACCCGACTGACAGGGCTAGTGGTCCTGTGGCCGGGATCCTGTTAGAGTGCACTGCGACACAGACACCCAGAACGACTCTCCATTCAGCCACCACGTTTCCTGGGTGAACTTGGGCCAGGTAATGCCTGCCAGCCAATCTACTCCACAGGGCTGGTGTATGGAAACACAGGCAGCTTAGAAGGGAGCAGAGATTTTTTTCAAACCAAAGGGAATAACCTGAATTTGTTGTATGGAAAAAGTGGCATTTAAACCAAATAAATAAATTGTGCTGCTAGTATTCTGCCTGCTTGACCTCTTGGTGCAGTCCCTTGAACTGGGTTGCAATATGACCAGTTTGGATGAAGGAAGGTGAAGGGGAGTGGCAGAAAGCAGAAGATTTTTCAAGGTCAGTTTTCAGGTTTTTCCTAGTGGGCTGGGTCAGATAATCTAACCCTTTCTTCCTGAGCTTAACAACTGAAAAAACAATTGTCAAATATGAAATTAGTTGCTAAAGACAGGGAATAAAATCCTTTAATTTATTTTAATGTGATTTTCCATTAGTGTACTGCAGAAGCCAAAACTGGGTTCATAAAAGGAATGTAGTTAAAAGAGAATGTAAGATTAATATGCCCACGAGAAAGGCAGAATTATTGCTTTTGTTTTATGGATGTCCAAAAGTGTTTTAAGTCAGTACACCAACCCCTTTAGTAACAATGAAACTTATTTCTGAGATAAATGTATAAAATTGTACTATAAAATTTGATGGGCAAAATTGATTTGAAAAGGTAATTATTAAGTAAACTAATTTGCAGTTTGAATAGAGCCATTTATACAGAAGAAAGAATAATGGAGATGTTAGTGATTTGTCACTGAAGATAAAAGAAACTACAATATAATTGCACCTGCCTGATGTCACCATTCTGGCTATGAAATCGCTTCCGTCATTGTAAACCTGTTTAAAAGTATTATTAAAATTAGGTAGTGTTAAAATTGCATTCAATTTTTGGTTATAAAAATGGCATTTCAGGATGAAACGTAGGTAAATAGCTGAAAGTTTCTATGTGTGATATTTCATTTCATCAAATATAAAGTAAGTATTCTATTATGAAAAGTGATCCCATCATGGGTTCAAATTATAGATCCATAACATAGATGCGATGAAATGGTAACTGACTGGTTTGAAGGACAGAGCTTCTTGCGCTATAATGCAAAAGGAACGCTTGTGTCTGGCAGCTACAGCCCCAAATGGCGTTCTGGCTTTCTCTGCAGTTCCCTCCCCAGGAACCCCAGAGCCGCTCCTCTGAAGGACGTCAGGCCACAGTATGGACATTTCACACACAGACTGAAAGCGCATGTTTGCTTTGGCTTTCCTTCAGCCTTGCGCAGTCTTTGTACCAGTCTCATGATACTATCGGGTATGCGTGCGCGCTCTTATTTGCTACTTTCATTTTGTTTGGTTTCATTATCTTAATAAACTATTTTTGGATACATTTCAAAAGAAGCATTAAAATTAATTTTTATAATACTTAGAATGAAGTATTAAAATTAACTATATAATATGAAGTGTAGATGAATATCCAAAAGTTGGTGTAATTATTGCTAATTATGATTAAACAGATAACCACCAAGATATCAAAATAAGCTTTACAAATTTAGCCCCATTGAATCTGTTACCAATTCCACTAGTCAGTCAGCTGCTGAGGTGGAGTGAATTCAGTGCCGTGCTCTACAGACCCAACCCAGCACCAGCTGAGGCTGTGCTGCTCTTAAAAAGTCTGAACTACTAGGTGGTCCTGCCATCTGGGGAACTCACTACATAGCCCTCATCAGGATACGAGATTTCTTGTACAGCTACAGAAATGTATATGGAAGCATCTTGGTGAATGTATGGTCCTAATATAGGTGGAAGGCACGGGTCACTTGTCTACAGCCATTTCAATACCCTAGTAGATTTACTTGGGAGCCAGTCAGAGCAAGCATCTCCTTAGAACCATTGGGAAAAGCTTTGTGCCTTGGGAAAAAAGTAAAGAATAGACCAAAAGCTGTGATAGAGCATTCATCTGTTAACCTGCTCTAGGAAATTTACAATAGAATTAGTAGTAAGCTGTGGAGATGTCTGCACATTAATTTACACTGCAGAAAATGAGGTAAAGGTAAAGCAGTTTCAACATCTGAAATGAGGAAGTAAACTTTTTAAAATTGAAATGCTTTAATAATATGGCAGTAATGTTATACCAAAAACAAGCAAGCAGTAAAGTGGAAGTCAGTTTTCATTCTTGCCTTCCAGTATGTTCAGAGTAACTTACTATGAAAATAACTTGTCCTGTCTCTCCCGGTGATCAAGGAATGGCATTTTTAGTCTCCTACCAAAAGCTGAATTGTGATAGCTGAATTGTCTGTCTACTAACCTACAGAGCCAAATGAGGATTTGTACCTGGGTTTCCTATATCCAAACTCAACATTCTAGAGTGTGCCCCAAAGAACACAGCTGTGCTCAATGAGAGACTCACCTAGATTGATCAGGTAAGTGTTCTCTTCCTTGATCAGGAGAGGCTCAGGTGACATCACCCAACCTGGAGATATGCATGGTCATCAGGTGCACAGCCCTGCATACTGCACAGTTCATACTGGTCCACTCAAGGGGCCGTTCAGCTACATTAACAGTGTAGGTCAAAGCAGAATGAACCACAGACTTGAAGCAATGAAACTGTGCTCTGAGTTTTCTAAATGTAGACAATATATCCTAAATTGCTGTAGTAAGTTTATAGGGCAGGCATTATACCTCCAAACTTTGTATTTAAGTAATGGAGAGCTGTATGCAGCACTTTTGCACCTGCAAAATGTACATTTTGCTTTGGATGTCACTGCACAGATTTGTAGAAATCCACCCAGAATTTGCACTTGCAGCAATGAAGAAACAGTTTAGCTCTAGTAAATCTCATTCAAAATCCTGGCAAGATACCATTCTAATGGATTTTGTCTTCCCTGAATTCTTATTCTGTGCCTAAAGGAAACCTGTTAAGAAGATATTATTTAACAAAAAGACATTTTTTGTATCCATATCCTTTTTGTTTTGCTTATAAGAGCAGTTCTAAAATCCTGATGCCACAGCATAAGTGTGGTTAAATGCAGAATTAGTGTTTGCAAAGAGGACAGAGGAGCCTGCTTTAACAAACTGAGCAGAGCAGCCAATGATGAAATGTGCAAGCCAAGTATATTACATGTGCTGTGAACAATGTGTAGAAATGTACACATGAAAATTAACACATCTGGAACTTTTTGAAACAATTCTTTAATTGTATTTACGCTTACACTAAACACAGCAGATAATGGGTCTAATCTTGTAAGTGCGTATCTTCCATGTATTTCAAGGGGGCTTCTAAGGGTGAAAAGAGGATACAACATGCTTGATGGTTAGGCTATGGAAGCCCCACTGAAATTTATGGAGTGAGCACCAGCTTGGTGGCTTGTGCCCAAGAATTACAGTGTGCTTCCATTCACAAGATGTATGAAAGCATAAATGTGTTTCTTCCTGTTCTAGTCAAATTCTACATTTTTAACACTAAGTGACTAGGAATGTGTAGACACACATTTGTAATAAAATCTACAACAAAAGCTGGAAGCATCAAAACAAATAATTAGTAGCTAGCATACTACATAGTCATTCAAGTATTCTTCCCTTAATTCAACACTCAAGCAAATGAAGATGCAGCCCACCAGCATGTTCCAGGTTCTCTGAATGAACAATTGCCAGGGGTAAGAAAATCTCCTTGCATACAGTTCTCCGTGTGCAAAGCATGGATCCCTTTAAAAGGGAATAAATGGGCCATAGTAAAAGGCAGGAATTCCAAAAGCGCAAATTTGTAAATAATACAATTTAAAATAAATTCAGAAGGCAAGGAATAGTAGTTTTAAATTATTGTGCAAATGCAGAATCTTGGCATAGTTTTGAATAACTATGTCAGTAATTCAATCAGTTATGAAGTGCTATTAGAAGAATCTCTTTTCTGGTCTTTAAAAATAGTATATGTATTTGGATAATTAAAAAGGTAAATTAATCTCAATATATAAAACACAAGGATAGATACACATTTCTAATTTAAAAAAAAAAGCAGAGGGTAAGCTGCTAACACAGAAGGCTTTCAAAACCTAGAGAAGGTCAATTCCTCTGCCTTCCATCCTTTGTGAGGGCAGTGGCATACAACAGAAGTCCTCGGTGCTCTTTGGAAACCGGTGCTCTTGCTAATGTGACCGACTTTTCCTCCATAGCTGTGGCAACTGTGCAGGTCTTTGGACTTCGAGCTTAGATTTGCTTCTATTCATTGCACAGAGTTGGAAAGTAAACAACAGTTAAGTAAAGCATCAGCCCGCCCAGGCGCAGCATGGAGTGGCACAGCTTCCTCATGCAAGCAACCAGACCCTTTTTTTACCAACACACGCAGTATTGTTCTCTGGGCTTGCTTGGCCTTTGTCGAGAACAATCCCAATGCTTTAAAAAATGAAATAATGATCCCCCCTGCTTCTTAGATTCAGTCCTTGAAAAGTTACAAAAACATAGGAGAACGCTATGTTGCCAAAGATACATTGAACACACTGCTTATCCACAATACTGTGTATTTCCTATTAACAAAGTGTACGTGTGCTTCCAACGTGCGAAATTTAGGGCTTCATGGATGGAGAAGAACTAGAGGGATTGTTCTCATCACTTAAGCCAAGGCCTTAGGGTAATAGTGTTTCTGAATATTGTAATAAAAACAGAGTACACATTAACTGTTGAACTTGAACTGGCAAGAGAAGTTTGTAAAGACCCTACTGATATGTGGTTACAATAGCAGATACACAGTTAAGGTGAGGTCACGTTTTCCAACAACATTTACAGGGACTAAGGATAATGAAAGAGGCCCCTTTGGAAATCTCCAAGGGACAACGAGCTGCTCACTGTGGAAGTGCTTTGAGTATTGCGTTCACCTCTTCTGCAACTGCTGTCAATGCGAACTCAAACTGTTCCTGTGGAGAGAAGAGCCAGAATTAATACTCTGCAGCACTTCCAGGAACGCTGGTGAAACCTTCAACAAAATATCCAGGCCTAACCTGCTTATTCCTGAGGTATACATGGGTTTATGGGCATGGATGCTGTAGTCCAGGGCCACAGCCCAGGGGCCTACCAGTGTTCTGAAGTATTATACTTGTTAATTACCTCCATGCTATATTTTATTTTTGCCATGATTTATACATCCTTCTTCCACGGTTATTTATTATTTATGCACAGAAAAAGCACTCAAAACCCACTGCAGTGGGTGACATTCCAAACCATTTTATTTACAAAAAGTAATTTTATTTTAAATAAAACTTTTGAAATGGATCCAGATTTAATAAACTAAGAATAGTCCCACTGAAATCAACAAGGCAATATGATTGAACTGTCTTCAATTCTAAAAAAAGGAATGTCTTATCTTTGTGTGCAGTACTGCAGAGATTAGAAACAGGATTCCGAGAACAGAAACAAGATGTAGCTCCCAAATATATACTAAAGGAAAAGCGTGGGATGAGTGGCCGTGTGAAGGAGCTCTCCAGGCATACTGACTGAGGTGCATGTATGGAGGATACTGAGCTGGATCCTTCTTCAAAAGGAGGAACCTCTGTGTGCACATGGTCACTAAGCACATCTAAGTTTCCATAACTTAAAGAGTCATACCTTTCAGACCCTTCCTGACAGTCCTTTTAATACATGGCAAAAGAGGCCTTTTGGGATGGCTTATCCAGAAGAGGCATTTTTCTTACTGAAGTCTATGTAACAGCAATGATGCTAAGCCTTTCTGAAAAGGTTCCCCTTTCATTTCTTCCCTACATCTTTGGGATGTCTCTCATTGAAGACACCACATATAGATTTTAAAAATCCACATCAGCATTATGAATCTATATTTACTTAGTACCACTTAAAGCTAAAAACAAAACAATAAAGTATAATGCAGAGAAATGTTTTATTTATATATGTTATCTTCTTTTGGAAATGGACTTGGAAGCAACACTGAAGGATCGTATATGAACTTCTTAAATAAAAGTATAGAATACATCACAGTTTTTACTAAGGAGGGTACAGCTGCAAGAGCAGGGAAGGGAGCAGACAAACACGGACAATACTGGATCCTCAAGAATGAGCTACTAGATAGAGCTGAATGACTTCCAGATTGTTCCAAAACTATTTGGTATCTTGTGAGTGATTTGGAGGAGGTGTCTTCTCAAAGTTTTGTGAGTGATTTGGAGGAACACGGGGACACAAACTAAGGGAAACACTGGGCAGGCACAGTGAGGAGGATCCCACAGAGAGGCCTACAGAAGACTAGGCTGAGCCCAGTGAAGTTCAATCAGCCCCATTACGACTGCCCACCTTTGCATGCTGGTGGCACGGGGAGCCTGTGCCGGACATCCCCAGGTGGCACTTGGGAACTTTGCAGCCGCCATTGCTTGGGTTTGTCCAGAGCCCCCCGGCCAAAGCAGCAGCCCTTTCCTCCTGCTCTTGCAGTTTGGCTTGCCCCTGCCTCCAATGGGTTCTCTTGCCTGGGCCTAGATGGCACAGCAAGCCCCACAGAGCAAGCAAGCCTTGCACGCCATGCTGTGTGAGAGGGCCTTCTAAGACCGGCACACCCAGGTCTGGATAACATGCTAAGCCAGCACAGCGTAGCATGTCCTGTGAGCCCAGCCACTGCTTCCTCCGTGGCCGCCGGTCCAGCTTGGGCAGGGCATCCCTGCCAAAGCTCCTGTTGGTAACCTAAAACAGGAAGCACGTGCTCTGGGCAAGCAGCCAGGGGAGAGGGACTGTTCTCGCCACCCGAATGTGAAGCTGGCTGACAAGCCAGGCCTTGTGCTCCGAAAAAAACCATGAGAAGGGCACTCCCCTCTGACTGGCATAATTTCAGGGAGGGCTTGCAGGTGAGTCACGCCAGAGAGGAGGAACACAGCAAGTTTCCCATGGAAGGGAAACTGGAATCCCCGCCCAACTTTCATGGCTTGCCATGCACTACACAAGAGGCACATGCTTTACAGTGTACATTTTCATCTATTTTCTCAGAAAGGTGTTATCCACCCACATCATCAAGGGTGAAGCACTTCATTTCTGAGATCTTAGTGTTTTCAAATGAGCCGAGAGATATACAGAGATGGCTTAATGATCACAACTTCCTCTCTTGCCGCTATCCTACCGAAACTGCAACGCTTTCTCACTTAATGCTCTACTTGCTCTATGATGCATGTTTTCATAAAAATTGTCCACAAAACACAGAGGGAGAATGCAAGTGAATAATTGTTCTGAAAACTTGCAAACTATAAAAGTTAGATTTATATACCTCCACAGCCTCTGGGTACTTTATTTGAGATTTAACAGGTTACTATGTTATTTGAGGGAGGGAAAGAAAATTGCTTTAGTTTTTTCCCTGCCCACAAAACTGTCCCAGCTTTAAAAGCACAAAACCCTCCAGACCTATCCTGAAATTATGCATATTATATTTACTATTTTAATACGATTTTACCCCCAGCCCTCAAGTGAAGACAATAAACAAACCCTGTTTTAAAAGTTACAAGTGAAAATCCCAAAATCTTTAAGGGTGTTCTTGCCCAAATCTCCGTACAGTCATCTGCTGAGCTTCATTCAAAATTTGGTGAGCTTCATTCCTTCAGAAGGGGAAAATATGTCTGCAGATTTCATCCAGTTTTGCTGAGAAATGTTGATTGTCCCCTTTAGAACAAAAATGTAAAGGCTACTTGCACAAAAATGGTTGCACCTTGTAGTCTAACAGGTGTCAGGCTTAATCCACTCAGAGATTTGATTATGCCTGCAGGTTTTATTCAATGCTATCAAAAGCCAAAATGGTACAGATGCTTGTTGATCTCCGAAGGATAACAGGGATGCACATTGCTTCAGATTTCCCAGAGTGAACGTCTGATTCAGACCAGAGTCAAATCAAGCTGCTTTTCAAAACATGGTACAAAATAAATCTTGTATGAGGTGCAAACCTCTATTAAAGATGCAATCTAATTGCCATTTCTAACCCACTTCTTAGTCTAGTGGTTTAAAATTACTGCAAGAGGCTGGTTTTTATTTGTATTCAGCTTGGAGGGAAGAATATGGTTTGTTTAAATCAGATACATGTGCAAAATTCTCTCGAGACGGCCCACTGCTGGCACACAGCCAATTTTTTAAGACTTCACGCTGTCTTTGGCACCATAAAATAGTTTGAGCAGTTTTAGCATGGGAATAAGCAGTCAAAAGGAGGAAAGGAAGGTGAGCGAATCCTTTCAAATTTTTGAACAGCTGTACCAGATCACGGTGTCATGTAAAAGTTACTAATAAAGTGCTTACACTATTTTTTAAAAAGCTACACCCTGAATGGACCATTCAGTAGGTCAGAAAATCCGAATTCTATGTCCATGCCTCAAATGCTAGGAATGTTGGATTTGATCAAGATTTAGAGTAAAGTAACTGAAATAAACGGGATTGGAGTTGATCACTAACTTGTCCCATTCACTTCGATGGGGTTTCCCCAAGTACAGCTAATCTAAACCAGCGTCTTTTTGTCATGAGTCCACTTAATTTGCCATAATCATTGCACTATTGCTGTTCTACATGTTCTGTCTCCTCATGGTGGTGTTGTTTTTATTTATATGAAGATCGTCATCACAGTATAGACCGAGATGATAATAGTTTGGATTCCAGCTTCCATTAACAGCATTCTCCTCACAAAACAGGGCAGTTCTGAGGTGCCTTAGCTGTTGTCTCTGACTCACAGTAACCCGTGAAAGAATGTCCCCCAAAGCAGCTTCCTTACCACCTAAAAATATGGCCCCAAGCCTGGAAACAGAAAGGCATGTGGCACGGGGAAGCAGATCAAGAAGGGAAAACTGGTGAAAACTGGGGACCCTCACACAGAAGCAGAAATGCTTGTGCATGTTTGGATCAAAGCCAATATATCCTTGCCATTATTCTGCGTCTGTGGCCAGTGGATAACTTCCTCTCTCCCAGGATTTTTACGGGAACTTTTTCTCCCTTTGGCGTAGTCTACAGCATGATCTCCTCCAGAATTTGGGCCCTGTAGATGCATCAGGCAATTTGAGAAACTATCATATGACCACTACCACAAGAAGGCACTACCACAAGATGGACCTGCTGCTAAAAATGCTCCAGCCTGCAGCCACCGTCATTTCCCAAAACCACCTTCAAGCCCATTTGTGGCCCAGAGGCATTCACGGGATAAGGAGAAGGGAGCAGCAAGGCAATTCCAGCTACCAGTAACAGATGTGGTGATTTATAAAAAAGCAAAATTAGGAGGGCTGGGGCATCTCAGCAGGAACCAAGGAAAGTACCTCAGAGTGCACTGGCATCCACAGGCAGCCAGTTCCCTGCCCCTGCTCAATCCATCTTCCTAACCCTTAATACACTTAATCTATGTTCCTCTCCCAATTTAGCCATGGACACTGTCCTTTTAGTGAACATGCGCAAGTTTGAATGATATTGTCTTGAAGGCTTTGAAGAAAAGGGATTTTTTTTAAATTTGTGTTTTCATTGGTGATCGGAAGACTCCTGGTCTTGATTCATTTTAATGCAAGTCCACAGTAAGACACTGTACAGAGCAAACACCTCAGAATGTACTGTGTGAGGTACATCCCTCTTTACTTTTGGAGCACAGCTATGATGAAAAGACTTGTAATTCACTGAGTTCCAATAGGGATTATTTCCAAATTGTATCTGTACATCTAAGCCCGGAAAGCTTTAGGTATTGGACAGTACAGAAATGCAATAAACAAACAAATATGTGATGCATGCACATGAACACACACACGCACAGCTGTGAGGAAGAACACCCCTGAACTCTGCGTAGATTACAGGAGTAATGCATTTAAAATGCAAGTCTTGGCAGTACCTTTGTCTGGACCATGCCAGGTCTCTGGTCTCGCAAGTGCTCCAGAGTAGCAGCAATATCAATCTCTTTAGCACCTGCAAAAGATAAAATAATCCCCGTTTCAGCTGAGTTCAAAGTGATGGTAATGTGTGCTGCATCTGTCAGTCTCCTGCCATTGGATTCCCTTTGGGCTTACAGCCCAGTTGAAAATTATACAGGCATCTCTCCAGAGACTTGGCAGGCTGCACTAAAATTGGCCTTCAGATAGGGAGGGAGGAAAAGAAAAGCTATGGGTAGCTTTGATTAGCATCAGTTATATAAAATAGAAATCAGAAAGAATTCTTGAAAGATGTCTCCATTAATACTGACACATGGCAAATGTATTTGTCAGCTAAGAACCCAGAGTTTCAAATTCACTTGTAATTGCATCGCTATTCTTATACTTGATATAATACACATATGAATATTTCAGTGTTGTATTTTCAGTTTCATTATCATGTATACATTGAGGTGATTCTTCAGTGGTAATCCCTAGTTTAAGGCTATTGGTTTTGTGATTTCTACATGGCATATTCATGGTATGCCTTTACAAAACACTGTATAAAAATAATCACAGGGAAGGAGAACGCTGCATTAATTCCACCTTTTTCTTGTAACAACTCAAAGAGGCTTATACAATTCTCCTGCTCTCAGTCTTATCCTGTAACGACAACTCTGTGAGGTAGGCAGGGGTGAGAATCTGCAAATGGCTCAAAGTCACCCAGTTGGCTCCATGGCCAAGTGGCAACTAGAACCACTAACCACTATTCCACATTGGCTTTCTAAACTCAAACTCACTAAATGTACTAAGCATGCCTGCACTCAGACAAGACCCAACAACAAATAAATATAAAATAAACCTGCCAATACAGAGTTGATTCCATTTTGCTTGGATTGGGGAAAAATCTGCAGCAGGAGAGAAGCTGTTTCACACTGTTGGGCTAAGCCCTCTTTTGTCCCTGTGTGACAGCGAAGCAAGAAACCTGGCACGAAACAGCAGGCCCACCAACTTTTAGGAGGATTAACCTATCCAGCCTGTAGGAAGGAGGCCTGCACTGTATGCCATGCAAGCACAACCAAGTGGTGTCTTCAAGAAAAAATGTAAAATTCTATGTGATGCTTATCATCATATTTAGTGACATGAATGTGCAAAAGAAATTAACTGCTATGATAGAGCTAGTTTGTTGTAGTAGTGCAACAAACTACTATAGGATCCTGGAGCAGGATCACAGGGCCTGGGTTCGGATGCACCACTGTTTCTCAGCCAGGGCAATCCGCTGGGGGCAGAGGAAGGAGAACCTGCAGAAAAAGAGTAACTGCAAAAGCCCTTTCACAGCAGCAGGTGGGGACAGGTTTGCATGGAAAACCCAGCAGCTCCTTCCATTTCACCTTACTTGCCACAGGGATGGTTGGTCTAAGGATCCCCTGAATCCAATCCTCTCTCCATCTTCTGGCAGCACACCCCTTCCACCCAAGCTCTACTGGGGTCTGAGGGAGGGATGGTAAAGCAAGGAGAATTCTCAGGATATACCTCCTTGTCTTCCTGCAGAGAGTATAAAGCCATTCTGGGGACCATAAGATTACAATTTTATTTCAGTTGTTATAAGGATTAACTGGGATATAGCTCAAACTATCCTATCCTGAATTCCTGGCAGAAGTGTGGGATGCAATATAATGAGGCCTTAGAAGTCCTCAGAAGGAATAGGATATAATTTCTCCAAATGTCACCTAAGTTTGTTATGGATATCTTGGAATTGGAGTACAGTGTGAATGAATGTGGCAAAATACAAGGATACTGATACCTTTCAGATATTAAATCAGTGGTGCGGTCACTGCTTGGCAACGGACACATCCCACTGCCGGTGTATCCTGAAGGCTGACAAGGGAGTGTGCCACGGGCTGGAGAAAGCCTCTCTCCAGGCTCCCTGTCCATCTACTCATCTGGAGTGTTGAGCCAGTGGGGCCAATTAGGGACTCTTTTGGTGTACCACCCATGCCTCTCCACTGGTCTACCTGAACTGAAAGAGCGGGCCTTGGTGTGATGCTGATGTCTCCCAGACTGGTCTTGGAGAATATGAGCATCCATGTTGAGGCTACCTTATCTGGGGTCCCTCAAGGATGTCACAGACACCACACAACCATGTGATCGGCCTATCACATGGAGCAGGGCACTTCCTGGACTTGTTTTTTTTTTTTTTTTCAGCCAGGTATGGGGATAATCATCTGAAGGTGGGGGATTTTCATCTGGTCCCTTTGTTAAAGCTGGATCAGAGCCTCTTGAGCTTAGACTAATGGTGTGAAACCAAGTAAGATGGTCTGCCCCTAGAGGCTAATGGATCCAGACAGTTTCCAGAGAGGGCATGGGGAATTTCTAGCTGATATGGCTGGTAGCTTTGGTGAATCCTTGGTCGATCTTTGGAAAACAGAGGTGACTAGGTAGTTGACACGATCACCTTTAAGCACCCTCTCTGTAGAACCTTTTTGGCTGCATGGTATAGCGCAGAACTGAGAGCAATGAAACAACACAGTGCAGAGGAGGAAGAGTCCTTGTAAGTGCCCATAATCAGACATATCTGAGGGCAGTGAGGGTGGTTAAAAACATTTGCTATCTGGTGCTATCTAGGGTCTATTACATGCCGGCCACATGACTTCTTAAACTGAGCTGAGGCCTGCTGTAATATATTTGCTAGGCACTTCTAGAATAAAATCTCTTGCACCCCCAGGACTTAAAGACTCCAATGCTAGAGCTGCTTAATCAGGGAAGGTACCCAGCGCACAGTCTGGTCCAGTTTTATCAGTTGCTTCAGCTTGAATATGCCGACAACCTGCTTGGGCAGGTTCGTGCAACTATGTATGTACTGGACCCTTGCCGCTCTTGGCTTATAAAAGCTAGCAGGAAGGGAACATCCAGCTGGACTAGGGAAGTGATCACAGCTTCTTTATGAGAGGGTGTGGCGAGGCCACTACTTAAGAAACCCTGTCTGGACCTAGAAAGCACAAAGGATTTTTAGGCCAGTGCCACATATTCCCTCCTTGTGCAAGGTCCCTGAGTGGGTGGTGGCCAACCAGGTCCTTCAGCAGGTGATGGCCAATCCTTCCATAGTGTTGGGCTTTTAATAATGGAAGCAGCAACATGCAACGAACTTGGGTCTGAGAGGTCTCCATACAGTATCTGTAACAAGTGAAGACCTTAACTCACAACTTTTCCCTATGTTTTATTTACCTAAAAAGATTATGATCCTGCTGAAATGAATGGCAGTTGAAAAGGACAAGCGAGTTATCTAATATGCAGGTTACATTCAGGTTACCGATTTCACTTTCAAAGTAATTGTCAAACATAGCTGCAGAGAGCAGATGCAGCAGATGTGGTGCTGGACTCCAAAGACCTGGATTTCAATTAATTCCCACCTCAGAGACAGATCTTCCCATGTTACCCCGAGGCACTTGCTTAATCTACATTTCAGACAGTCGCACAGAACAGTCCTAGGTGGGACCAACCAAACAAGCTCTGCTCTCAACATCCCAAGTTTTAGCTAAAGAATTTGTTAATTTTTGGTGCTCTTTAATTAAAGAAAGAAAATGAAACAAAGAGTTCCTGATAGCCTTCAAGGTCTTAGTGAATTTATGACCTATCTATTTGCAAAGCAGGACCATGTGCTCACAATTTCCTTGATCTTTTAGTCCCCAATCCAGACAGGGAGGACTGGCATGCATGCCTGGGATCAGCAAAGAGCTGCATGGCACCTTAAGTATTTACTAAATGACTGCTAACTGAGCATGGCACATGGCAAGGAAGAATGCAGCCATGTGTTATAGTCTGTAATACCCTGTGCTCTCAGGCAGAAAACCTACAGTATTACTAGGGAGTAGCTTCACTAAGCCCTGAATAAATCTTCGCTTGCTTCCTCCCCACCCACTCTCACCGCAACATCTCCAACAAGTGCAACAGCTCCCTGCACAAGCCTTTGCCACTTTGTACTCTGGACCAGGTAAGAAGACAAGACTGCTGCTGCCAACGGTTGTCCCTCATTTTACTCTAAATAGGTTAGTTCAGTAGTTTCTGGGATTCCAGAACATTTTTGGGGAACATGGGGTTCTAACTTTTGCAATTCTAAAATCCACACCCGTCCCCAGCTCAAACAGGGGAGCCCAACTGAGATTCCCACTCACTCACCCACTATCACTGTTCATAATGCTCCACATGCTCACCACCAATCATGGACAACCCATCTATACCAATTACTTCTTGAAGCCCAAAATACTCAGCTGGGATTTATAAACCTGTTCCCAACTGGGAATCTGTCCAGTGTTTTTTCCCCCCTGGTTAGGTAGCTCAGAGACACACCTGTTCAGTTAAAAGAAACAAGTCAGCTGGAGGAGGAAGAGTTTACCTGACTCATCAGGCACGCCCAACAAGTGGGTCTCTGAAATCAAAAGGGCCTGAACCACTGATCTTAAGCCCAACACAAGGCAGTGCCAGGCCTCAAGCTGTTTGCAGCTTCAGAGATCAAAACCAACACACTGAATTGAGCCCAGAAATGGACTGACAACTGATGCTGACATTTCAGCACTGGGTTGATGTGCTCATGATACACTGCACCACTCAGAAGTTTCATTACTGCATTTTGTGGCAACTGAAAACCCCTGCATGTTCTTCAAGGGTGGCCCCACATTGCACATTGTTTTTTATGTAAATAAAAAAAGCATTTTTTTTAATTAACCCTTGCCATGTATTTATATGACCCTTGCCATGTTTCACTGTGACATGAAGGAATCATGGACATCCTTCAGGCATAATAAATGAAGTTGGAAATAACTACCAAAGAAGTAATTAGTTGCTGATAATTGTATTTCTTAATTCTACATTAGGCATCAAAGTTAAATGAAAATTCAGTTTTCAAGGACAGATATATCCGAGTACCAAAATGAGGAGGAAAAATTACAGGGGGAACCATTGCATCATGCTCTGGTTGTGACCTTCCAAGATCACTGCTGGAACATACTGAATGGGGCTTGTTTAATCCTGGCCTGTCTGACTTGTTCTAACCCAGCTATA